CCCATAAAGAATAAATAAAATAAAAAATACAACCAAATTAAAAATGAAATATTATAAGGAATAATGATTTAGTGGTATTAGTATTACCTTTTAAGAAAAAAGAAAAAGAAATAAAACTAACACTAATCAAAACAATGAAGTTTTCTAAGGAAGACTGAATTAGTTACATTCATATTATCCTTTAAGAAGAAGAAAACTGAAAAAATGTAACAAATAATGACAAAATTTTCACAGGATTTTGCACTTTTTCATAATATGCAACAATAAACATATATTATTGATTTTTTTGCACAAAATAAGTTTGATAAGGAGGAATGAGTTAGTGGCGTTAGTAACTTATCCTTAAGGAAGAAAAGAAATGAAGTAAAACTAAAAATAAAATCAAAATGATGAAGTTTTTTAAGAAAGAATGAATTAGTGGCAATGATATTAATTAATAAGGAGAAAGAAAATAAAAAAAGGTGAGAAAAATAATGGAAATGTTTGCACAAAATTTACTCAGAAATGTGCTTTATAATAGTACTCAACAATAAGCATATAATAGTGTATTTTTCGCACATAAAAGTTTACTAAGGAAGAGAAAGTTAGTAGCAAAATAACATTAAAAAGTTTTCTAAGAAATAATGAGGTAGTATCATTGGTATTACCGTTTAAGAAGAAAATCCAAATAAAAAACTTGCACATAACTTTACACTGAAATTGCACTTTTTAATATGCAATGAATAACATATAATAGTGCAATTTTACACTGTGGTGTAATTTACACACATACTCTATAGTAACTCTGTGTTTAGATTTCACCCATCCAATATGCAAAAAAAATACCCATGCAGAAAAAGAAAAAACAGCTAACAAAAACAAATGCAAAATCAAAAGCAAAAACGCATAAAAAAATAGGCAATGTGTAACGAGCGTCAATCCTAAGAGGAAAATCTACTTATACCAAACCAGGGCAAGTCAAAATTTTGGCATAAGAAAAAATCGACTTAACCCAAAAAGAGGCAAGTCAAAAATTCAGCCTAAGAGCATCTCCAACATGCATGCAACCGCGCGGCATGCTAAAACCTTTTTACAACATCAAAATAGTGGTTTGCGTGCAGCAGGGTGCTGGCTCCAGCGGCCGCTGCAAAATATGGCGCGCACGAGCAGCTCCAGCAGACGCGCTAATTTATAGCGCGCGCGAGCAGCCGGCGCTTGCAAATAAGATTTTACATGTCCATTTTGATAATAGTGATGATGTTTCAAACATTAAACAAATATGCAAAATATAGACATATCACAGTTCAATTGCATGGCATAGTTCAAAATGACCCAACCAAGTGCACATAAAATTGCACACAAACAAATGGCACATCAACAATCATGCCACATCATCATCGTCCTCCTCTTCCTCCGATTCTTCCTCCTCATCCGAAGACGATTCTTCCTCCTCCTCTTCATTGTCGCGCGCCCCATCGTCATCGGGAACTCGGATGATGTTCACAAGATCTCCAAGTGCATCATGCGAGGGTATGTGAGGCACATCGGAAGACATGCGTCCACCCATGTCACCCGGAGGTGCTCCCATGCCTCCCATAAGAGACCCAAAACGCATGCCTCCCATGCTTTCTCATGGTAGCTCCCAAGCACCCATGCCTCCCATGGTAGCTCCGAAGCCACACATGCCTCCCACGGTAGCTCCGAAGCCACCCATGCCTCCCGTTGGTGCTCCCATGCCTCCCATGATAGCTCCGAAGACACCCATGCCTCCCATGACTCCCATGGTAGCTCCCATGCCTCCCATGTTAGCTCCTATGCCTCTCATGACCATGGCTCTTTTTTGGACCAAGACTTCTTCACGGGAAAGATTGACGTACTCCTTTTGCCTATCATTAGGGGTAGACATGTCCGTGAAGAACAAGTACTTCTCCCATTCCAATAATCTAGATCGCTCCTCCATGGCAAATTTCTTCTCCTCCAATGCCACCTTCCTGTTTTCGGCCGCCACTCTCCTCTCCTTGGTCGTTGCATCTTGGCTCCTTGCCATCATCCTCACCTTGTTCGCTTTCTTTCTTGCCTTCACAATAGCTTCCATAGCATTCTTCAGATCATAATCTCCTCCCCTCTTCTTATTTTCTTTTACATTTTTCTTGTCTCCATTTGGTCTTTTTGGCTTGGAGTAGGCAACGGATTTTGGTGTAGGGCTTCTCTTGCCGCCATCACTTGATGCCTCCTCCTCATCATCATCATCCAAATCAATAGTTACCTTGCTTTTCTTGCTCTCCTCTTGGTCATCACAGGGCTTCCATTTCTCTTCATCCTTCACACACATTGTAGCAATGGGCAAACACAGATGGTCTCCCTTTCTTGACCTTCGCTTTCTTGTTCTTCTTCTCTTCTCCTTGAAATAATTTTTGTGCAATAGTAAGCTACAAACAAAAGAACAAATTAGCATTTCAAACAATAACAACATAATGAAATGACACTTACCCTATCTCTATCATTAATGCCACTTGGGTTTATCGTGTCAACCGCCTTGAGTGCCCCACTTTGACAATCTTTGTTGATTGTCGACCACCGGGAGCGAAGAGATCTATTTGTGCGGTCAATTCCACTCGTCTTGTGTAAATCAAAGTGCTCCTTCATCCGGATCAAATATGCATCTCTACTTTGGTCCCCTCCAACGTTGGCATCCATAGACACATGCAACCATGTGTTGCATAGCAAAATGTCTTCCTTCATGGTGTAGTTGCCGGCTCTTCCTTTCGGTGCATCGAATTTACTCTCACCATCCTCGTCCATCTCAAACTCATGATCATCTTCATGCACTCCATTTGTTTGAGACCAATGAGAATTGTTGGAGCCAACACCCATAGTTGTCATATATGTGGGCATTTCATCGAAATAAGCGGCGTGCGATGCCGTTTTGCTCCGCGTGCTGAACCACTCATACTGCCCGCACATTTTTTGCGCGTCCGCTAGAGCGCCCGTTCCGGCTGCGTGCGCAAAAAAAGACGATTTTTTCAACACGCTGCTAAAATCGGACGCCTGTTAGAGATGCTCTAAGAGAAAAATTGACCTACCCCAAATAGGGGCAAGTCAAAAATCAACCTAAACTAGTAGACTGCCCGAGCGTTGCCACGGGCATTTCATATTTTTGGCTGGTATTATGTATAAACCTAATGCATGTTAAGTTTCACAATATCATAAAATAATTGAAATCCAATTCACTTGCAATGTAAGTTAATAAGTTGATGATGTATACGAGAGAGCGATGATCCAACATATAATCCCTTATAATCCTTGCACAAGCAATATAAACTAAGATATGCTTGACGCGCCTCGACAATATCAGAAATGTTGTTTTTAACTTCATTTGCATGATACTTGAGCAAGTATAAGAAAATTTTCTTCCTCAACTCATAATCCCTGCACAAGCAATATATATAGTTAGCATAAATATTTCACATGGAAGGTGTAAGAATGTGCAAGGAAAAAGAATACTCACCGTTCAAACCGAACAAACCAATTCTTAACCATTCCACGAGAGCATAAAACAAAAACAAAATAGCTAGACAAATTCATGCAATTGAGTATATATTTTTAAAATATAGTGCTATTTTCAAAGTAACATACGTATCCATCAGTTTTTATCGCCGATCAACAAAAGTGAACCATATAAACATATATTAAAATAAAATATAAAAAATATGCCTGTATACATTACATATTCATTATGGCATAATGTTCTTGTTTTATAGATCAACGAAAAAAGCTGTTTTTTTCAACACGCTGCTAAAATCGGGCGCCTGTTAGAGATGCTCTAAGAGAAAATTTGACTTACCCCAAATAGGGGCAAGTCAAAAATCAACCTAAATACACACAAACAAAAATGGTCAGAAAATTTACTTATCTAAATTTAAAATTCAGACGACCTTTTTTTGCGGGCAATGACGACTTACATATAGCTAAATTGATAAAAGAAGGGTCTAACTAACCCACCTGAACTATTGCCAATTCCGGTTATTAACCCGGAGTAGAGATACATCACTTTTGACCGGCATCAAGAGGGTGCGACACGTCGCACTTGAATGCTGACCCTATTGCATTTGAACTTGACCGGCGTTCAACGGCCCTAGAATATATGAAGGTGAAATGGACTGACCACATCGAATTGCCTGACTGGGCTGGACTAAGTTGAACGTTCTGGTTGACCAGACCAGGTTTCGTTAGAAAGCAACCAGTTGGTAACTGAATGCTACATAGTACTCCCTTCATCCCATAATATAAGAGTGTTTTTTACACTGTAATGTAAAAGACTCTCTTATATTATGGGACGGAGGGAGTAGCTTCCAGTGAACAATGCACTTTGTTTTAACACAGTGCAATAAACTTGGGATCAACGACTAGTACGTGTAGCAGTTACCGACGGACACCGGATACAACCAGAACCAGACGGACCGACGCTTGTCCATAGCACCATCAGGTTCATCACGCCACCGTCGAGGGATCAAATTCTCCAACACCGAGTGCTGTGCCAGAGAGATGAATCAGTAAACAGGAGACAACTTCTGTCTGAATACGTTGAGATCATTTGTCGAAATAAGATCAATAGGGCAAGTAGAAAGAATGTTTTTCTTTTCTCGAGGCACTGAATATGTTGAGGGCAAGTAGAAAGAATCTGGGTAGTTTATCAAATACGCACGAGAGTGTTTATCATTCATTAAAGAAGAAGAGGGAAGACTCCCGAAGTTCAAATGTACAGAGTTTAATTACATGCCGGATTTTCCAACACTACCCGAAGAAATGTGGGTAGTTGATTCGATCGTCTCCGCTCCACGAGCAAGATTACATTCCTGGGATAAGTTCTGTGCAGAACTGCAGACCCACACACCACCAGCCAAGGCAGCTTTGAGGGCCACTTTGGATCACGAAATGTTCATCATCTGTGCTGAACTCACACCTCCATTGGATTGGCACTATTACAATGAGAATTTATTTCCTGCAGCCTCTGAACATGATCACTGCACAAGCTGTCTAATCTCCACCCCGCTCTTCCTGGATCCTGAGCGCAGGCAGCGCTGCCGACCTCCCTGAACCAGACCATGCCTCGTACTCGTACTCACAGCAGGCTTCCCGACAATGGCGTCGTCGAGCAGCGAGCACCTCCGAGGCGCGCCGCCGGACTGCAGGTACCTCAGGAAATCCCCGGCGCCGTCAGCCAGCTTCTCGAACCTCTGGACGGCCTTCGCGTGGGGCTCCTCGCTGCGGCGGCTGAGGAGCGACGACACGAAGGAAGCCACGATGCGCGCGACCCGGCTCGGGAGCCACGCGCGCGCGAGCGCCTCCCTGGCCTCCTCCTCCTCCAGGGCCCGCAGCTTCCAGCGGTGCACCGCGGCATCGCACTCGTCGGCGGCGCGCCGCAGCCTCCGCCGCCACCGGAGCATCGCCACGTCCGTGACCTGCCACCGGGCGGACACCTCCAGCGCCGCCTCCATCTTGATGCGCGCCATCTCCAGCCTCTCCAGGCTCTCGCTTGTGCAGGCCGACGCCGACCTCTCCTTGTGCTTGCTGACGAGGAACGAGGAGGTCCTGCTGACCACCTCGCCGACGACCAGAGATCCGACCATCTCAGCCATCGTCACGGGACGGGTGCCCGCAGCTGATCGAATTGCATCAATGGCAGAACAGGGGATTACGCCGGTCAGAAGTGGCCGAAGAAGCAGAGAATTCTGCAAGTGGTGCCATAGATGGAGAGTAGTCGGCTCAAGGAAGTTCAGAGATTACGACTTGTCGATTTTGTTGGATTCGGCGACTGAACTCGTTCTGGATGTTTGGATGATTGCAGGTCTCTCAACTGAACCAAGCCGCTGCCGAGTGGTTCGGACTGTCGATGATCAACGAAGTAAGCAGTCGGTACCTGTCGTAGCTGGACCGCGGTTGGTCTATTCCTTCAGTCCAAGTCTCCGGCGGCAATTCTGAAAATCCTTTACGCGGTTGCGCCTGCGTGGACATCACGGCAAGTTCAAATCACCATGCACATCCGCTGCCGATGAAAAATAAGGTAGATCAGAACGATCCAAACCGACAACGCACGAACGTAGGCGAACAACAATAAGATCCGAGCAAATCCACTAAAGATAGATCTGCCAGAGACACACCTCCACGCGCCCACCAACGATGCTAGACGCACCGCCAAAACGGGGCTAGGCGAGGAGACCTTTATTCCATTTTTAGGGAGCCGCCGCCTTCTCACCTTCCTGAGTAGGACACAAACCCTAGCACGACTGAAAAAACGACTAAAATCGAAGCCCTCCCGCCGGCCCTTGCCCGCATGAACTCTAACTTTCTTTTTTGGTGAAGAAGGAGGCGGCGGCTACTCTGATTTCTTATCTACTACATTTACTCGGCGTCGTAGCGTACCCCTTTTCGTAAAGAAATATACGAGTCGTTTAGTCACTAAAATGAGAGCAAGTCTTAAACCATGTGGAAAACTATTGGTTTGTTTGCGTGGCGGAGATGCCGGTGAATCGTGGGATATACTAGAATGGCATAGTAAAATAAAATTGTGGGTTCAAAACTTGTATTACTCAATTAACACCAGTACAATCCATCGCTGCCAGTTCTAATACATCGGGAGGAGCCGAACCTATCCAAGTCATGGTTCTACCTTGAGCTCTACCAAAAGCAGCTAGACTATCGCTGGGCCTTATTTTGCGGCCGCGAGACATGAGAGTAATCCAAGATTGACGAAGACTAAGAAGATATCTAATCTCTTTTACTAAAAAAGCATAAGCAGACCGGTCAAAACCGTCACATGTGAACATAAACACCGCCACAAGAGAATCCATTTCAACTGTAATAGGCAAATCTGACCGTTGTATAGCATAGGAGAGCCCCTCCATGCAAGCACACAGTTTAGCTTCCAAAGCATCTCTGCAGGAGAACAGAGCCCTGCACGCCGAGGAGATAATCTTTCCTTCCGAGCACCTCAGGATCATCCCTGCTCTAGTTGTGTCACTCGAAATAAAAGACCCATCTGTGTTAAGCTTCACCCATCCATTCACCGGTCTAGACCAACTCGGCGATGCAGCCACATCTTCTCTTGTAAATTTAGTAGCACCGTCCAGGGAGATAGCAGACATCCCCTTAGCTGGGTCACAAAGCGGGTTTGATTTTACTGCCACCAAAGACTCCATGTAACTTAGCAAGAACATGATGGATACGTCCATTGGTGGGGCAGGTTTTGAGTGTACTAGCTCATTCCGGACATACCAGCATCTCCAGAAGATCATCAACATCATGCACTGTTCGAAATCGCTCAAGTGAGCTAGGACATGTAGCAGCCATTCTTTGTCAGTAGGTATGAACGAATCCATATTGGGCAATCTCCATATTTTTGCCATTGATCTGTAGAGGTCCCGGCCATATTGACACTTCACAAAGGGGTGGAAGTTGTCTTCTGTCTCAACTCCACACACTGGGCATATACTAGTGATCTCGAGACCGATCCTACACTTATTTTTTTCATGTCGGCAGACTATCCGTTGCCACTCGCCATGCAAAATTTGCAATCGTTGGTGGAGCGCTGCAGTTCCAAATGAATTTCCAGCAACTCCTAACTCCCGTCGGCGCTGTACTGGAGGAGGACGCGGACCCGCGATGCAGCTCATCAAACGCAAGATGGTAGGCGCTCCTAACTGTCAAGATTACATGTTTTTCAGGTGCCCATGCAAGGATTCGTAATCCAATCTTGGGGAAGCTCTGATCTTTAGGATATCTTCAACATCAGCAGCAACGAAATATTGAGAGAGCAGCTCAACCTTCCATGAACCATTATCATTCAACAAGTCAGAGACGAAACACATACGACACACGCCTTGCTGTGACATGGGCCTAAACGATAAAGGTCGGGGGATCCAATTGTATCACACTCTTATACTTCTGCCATTCCCAACACGCCATATTAATGCTTTCTTTAGCAAATCCAGACCATGGCTAATTGCTTGCCATGAGGAGGAGGCATTACCCGTGAAAACAATATCCTCAAGCTTACCGTGCGGGTAGTACCGTGCTTTGAGAACTTGTGCACATAGGCTTTCCGGTCTGGATATTAATTGCCATGCTTGGCGAGCCAATAAGGTTTGATTGAACAGACGGAAATCCCGAAAACCCATGCCACCCCTATCCTTGGGCTCCAACAAATGATCCCAACCTTTCCAATGAACTTTCCTTTTGCCTTTTTCCAATCCCCAATAGAAATTCATTACCATCCTTGTGAGGTGGTCGCACACCGAGTAGGGCAGTTTGAACACGCCCATAATGTACGTTGGTAGTGCTTGGGCTACTGACTTTATCAAAACCTCTCTTCCTGGCTGGGCTAAGTGACCATCACCCCACTGAACAAGTCGTTTAGTGAGACTGGTTTGAAGATTCTGAAACTTGCCCTTAGACATGCGACCCTTCGGTGTGGGAAGGCCCAAGTATTTTTCCTCGAAGACCAAGTTGGTAACATTCAACACATCTCTGACTTCCTCTTGTACAACAGCAGGACAAGTCTCACCAAAGAAAATTGAACACTTGTTATAATTAAGGCTTTGACCTGTAGCTGAACCATACATATATAGTGCCACTTTTACACTTTCCGCCTGGGCTCTAGAGGCCTCAAAAAACAACATGGTGTCGTCAGCGAATAATAAGTGGGATATACCTGGCGCCCTTCTACAAATTCGAACTAGTGAGATAACACCGGCCTGCACTTTATTTTTCAGAATTGCCGAAAGACCATCCGCCACAAACAAAAATAGATATGGTGAAAGTGGGTCCTCCTGCCGAAGACCTTGGGACGATGCAAATGAATCTAAGAGAGTTCCATTTAGTTTGACAGAATACCTCACCGATGTGACACACGTCATTATCCAGTCAACCCATCGTTGAGAGAAACCCAACTTTTGCATCACTTGCTTCAAGTAAACCCAGTCCACCCTATCATATGCTTTAGATAAATTGAGCTTGGAAGCACAGAAACTCTTCGTAGGATCCTTCTCTTGCTTAATATAGTGGAGGCACTCAAAAGCCACCAGAGCGTTATCAGTTATCATCCTGCCAGGAATAAACGCACTCTGTTCCACCGAGATTAAATCATCAAGGAGTGGTCGCAAACGGTTCACCAGGCATTTTGAAATGACCTTGTAAATCACATTGCATAGGCTGATAGGCCTGTATTCAGACAACTTTGTAGGGTTAGCAATTTTTGGAATAAGAACAATGGAAGTAGAATTTACTCCCTTTGGCATGATACCCGTGCAAAAGAAATCTTTGACTGTTGCAATTACACTGTCCTTCAAGGTACTCCAATTCCGCTGGAAAAATCTAGCAAGGAACCCATCCGGTCCCGGTGCCTTCAAGGGCCCAATCTGAAACATAGCGTCCGAAATTTCCTTATCGATAAACGGAGCACAAAGCTTAATATTGTCCTCTTCCGTAACCAAGGATTGCACCAAGTCAATTACTGACGTTGCATCTAGAGATGTGTTTGCCGAAAAAATATCACAAAAATACTCTGTTGTAAGTTTCCCCATGGTGGCAAAATCGGAGTGCACTACCCCAATACTATTTGTCAATTCTCGAATCTTATTCTTTCTTGCCCTCCAAATGGCCTTGCTCTGGAAAAACATTGGGTTCCGGTTGCCCTCCTTAAGCCAAGATATTCTTGACCTTTGAAGCCACATCATCTCCTCTTGGTATAATAAATCATTCATCTTATCTATTACTTTCCTTATATCTTGTCTATCCACATTCATATTCATAAGCTCCTCTAGCTGAGATCGAGACTTGGCAAGCTCCCTCGTAATGTTGCCGAATTTTCTGCTTCATGACCCAAGGCATATCATGGTTTTTCATAGAGCATCTCCCATCTGTGCCAAATTCTGCACCACACCTACCGCAGCCCATGCCTCCTTTATGACTTCTCGCAGTGCTGAATCTCTCTCCCAAAAAACCTCATACCTCCTGCTCTTGGCACCTGAAGGACATGGATCAACCTCTCTTTTAACAGTAACATAACATGATCCGAACATGGTGAGGAAACATGCTCAACAGATGCGAAAGCAAACATATATCTCCACGAACTTGTTGCAACTGCCTGATCCAACCGAACTCTAACATTACCCATGCCATTACGCCTGTTATCATATGTGAACCGGGCTCTAGAGAAAACGAGGTCCACTAGCTCGCAAGTTTCAAGTACATCACGGAAAGCTAACATCTGAGCCGCAGCCCTAGGGGTGGCCGAAAAATGCTCGAAATCCCACATCGCTTCATTGAAATCGCCAATAACAAGCCAAGTCAAGTTGCTAACAGTTTTCAGGTTCTGTAGCTTTGTCCACATGAGATGCCTGTTTTCAACGCGGGGTTCACCATAGACGAAAGTAATCCGCCATTGACTTGCACCCTCATGGATCCGAACGACAGCATCAATATGACGCTCGTCTTTGTCCACAATCTTAACGACACAATTTTCATGCCAATATACTGCTAGCCCACCACTCAATCCGTTGTTGTCAACACCACAGAAACCTTTCAATCCCAAGCAATTGTGTATCCTTCTCATCTTAGCATCCTTATGCCGAGTCTCACA